CCATCTCTCTCTCTCTCTCTCTCTCTCTTTCTCTCTCTCTCTCTCTCTCTCTCTCTCTCTCTCTCTCTCTCTCTCTCTCTTTGGTGGTGGGATTATGTTTGAGGGTCAGGGTGGGGGTAAGTGGTGAAAATAATGTCTGGGTCTGGGCAGGTCTGGTTGCAACTCTTCAAGAAGGCCTGGGCGCGGGCGGGCCCAGGTTTGTACGGTCGAATCGGGCGCAGCTGCGGCTGGGCCTGGTTGTGAGGATTTTTAAACAGCAGTTTTGGCTGGCTACGACTGCCAAATATTATGGATGTCCAATATGGGTCGGGCGTGGCTGTAGGAAAAGTAGGAGTTTACGAGCTTTGGTGTGAAGGCCAACTGACAGGGAAGGGACCAAAGAAAGGGAGTGTCTTTCTTTGTTAGGTTGGTCAGGGGTGCAGCCACTTCATAAAAGTTCCTGACAAACTTTCTGTAGTATGAGGCCAAACCCATGAAGGACCTGACATCCCTCATTGTCTGTGGCTGAGGCCACTCCTGAATAGCAGCAATCTTGGCTGCTTCAGGAGCCAGGCCATCTCCAGAGATTACATGACCCAGATAGATGACAAAGGGAACTCCAAAAGAGGACTTCTCTCTGTTGATCTTGTACTGGCTGTCACGTAACGACTGAAGGACCACAGCCAAGTGCTCCGCATGTTCCCTGGTAGTTTTGCTGAATACCAGGATATCATCCAGGTAGACAACCATAAACTTGTTCAGGTAAGGCCTGAAGATGCGGTGCATCTCTGTCTGGAAGGTGCCTGGGGAATTGCAAAGTCCAAATGGCATGACCAGGAACTCGTAAGTCCCATACCTGGTCTTGAAGGCTGTCTTGTAGACATCCTCCTGTGCCATCTCAATTTGGTGATAGCCAGATTTGAGGTCGACTTTGCTGAACACTATGCAGCCCTGCACTATGTCCAGGAGGTCATCGATCCTAGGAAGTGGCTTTGTACTCTTTCTAGTGATCTTGTTGAGACCCCTGTAATCAATACACATTCTAAATTCGCCATTCCCTTTGGGCACAAAGAGAACGGGTGCACCGAATTCAGATGTGCTGGGTCGGATCCAGCCTTTGCTGGTCAAGGTCTCAAGCTGCTTTCTGAGCTCTTCAAGCTCAGCAAGGGTCATCATGTAGATGCGGCCCTTGGGAGGGACCGCTCCAGGCAGCAGCTCGATGTGGTGCTTGGTTGGCGGGTTGGGTAACCCAAAGGGCTCTTGCATCAGATCAGCATACCGATCTACCACCTGCTGTATCTCAGGAGGACAGGAAACATGGGGAGCATCTGTTTGCTTGACCAAAGCAATAAACAGACGCTCGTGGTGGTACTGGCGTGAGAGAGCATGAAACTCCCTCGCTCTCAGGCAGTCGCAACATGTCTTAGGGTGGTGATCAGCAGCAATCATGCATGGCTGATACACACCCTGGCTATTAGGTAGCTCAACCTTTGGGATCTGCCAGTGGATCCTTGGGTTGACTGCCTTCAGCCACTGCATGGAGAACACCAAGTCAAAGGGCAGCTCAGGGAAAATGTAGAAGTTCAGACTGTGTCTGACTTCCCTAACACTGTCGAAGGTCACAGGGATACCCTTGACCTTCTCCCTGATGCTCAGCACTGTAGAGTCACCAATCCTCACCAACAGCGGTTGCTGCAGCTGCTGAACTTTCATGCCCAGATGCAGCTTTTTAACTGCACTGGGAGACATGAAGTTCCTGGTGGCTCCACGGTCCAAGAGCCCAGTGATCCTGGTACGGTTGATCAGGGGCCGAAGCATGATGAGATCAAACTTGTTTTTCTTCTGTTCCTTCAGGTGAAGGAAGAAGGCTGCAAGTGACAGAAGCTCATCCTGCCCCGGGTCCTGATCCGGGTCAGGATCCTCATAACAAAAGGATGCTGCCCGCGCAGTCCCCAAACAAACGGAATCTGTCTCAACTGAAACAGCTGCAGATTCATCTACCTGAGTAGAGGAAGGTGCAGCACTGGGGGGAACTGCAGTCCCCAGGGTCTGTTTCAGTTTTTGAGTGCCCTGGGCCTGGCATGTAAGGGCAGTCCTTCAAAAAGTGCTGGCCCTCACACCTTAGGTAGACCCCTCTCTCCTTTCTTCTTCTCCAGACTCCCTCCTGGGTCTTGAGGTCATGCCAGGGGAGAGTGGAGGGATTGAGAGATTCAGCTGGCATCCGGACGTCTCTGGGCAGGTTAGGGCGCTGGGAAGAGGAAGGCCGACGTCCCTTTTCCTTCCCCTTTGCACTGGCTGAGGCTGTGGTGGGGGAAAAATTCTTTGGCAGAACTCCCAGAACAGCCCTAGTCAGGGCTGTTGCAACATCTGTCTCAGCAGCAGATCCAGTCCCGGCTGAAGGTGCATCAGCCTGGGAATCTGAATCTGCTCCTGAGGCAGATCCCGCATGAGTAAAGGCTGCCTTTCCCTTTCTGCCACCTCTAGGGAAGGCACCTTTCCTTCTGTCAGATGGGGCCTGGACATGAAGCTTTGCCTCCATGTCCAGGGCTGCACGGCCAAAGGACCTCCAGTCCTTGTGCCCAGTGCTGTATAGTGCAACAACAAACTTCTCAGGCGCTGCCCTACAGAAGTTGGTCAATAGATCATCAATTGACATGACCAACCCAGGGGTGGAGGTAAGCTGCTCGAATTCTGCAAACAAGGCCTGCAGGGTGCAGCTGTATCGCTGCTGTCCCAGGCGAGCAATCCTGTCAGCAGCCTTGCGGGCCCGCTCCTTGTCTGCAAATCGGTCCTCCAGGGCCTGCAGAAGTTTGTCCACCCCAAGCCCAAAAGCCCAGTCCTCCATGGACTGCTGCAGACTGCAGGAGATAGAGGTGGCCCACTTCAATGCAGGTCCCTCCAGCAGTCCCAGAACAGTAGCCACCTTGGTCTGTTCTGCACAGACAAAGCCCCTCAAGTAGGCTTTGGTCCCAGCAGCCCAGTCCCCAACATCGGTCTTGGGGTCATCACCCCTAAGCTTGTTGGGAGCAGGGATCTTGGGACCTCTTTGGTCTCCTGCAGTAACAGCAACATAGGCCTTGCCTGAGGCCTTTTGGGAATGAGATGGTGACCGTGAAGAATGCACTGATCCAGGGGGAGATGAAGGTGGAGTAGAAGGAGGAGAAGGTTTGGGTTGTATCAGAGGGAGCTGAGGAGTGATCAGCTTGGCGGCTGCCAGCTGAGCAGTCAAGTTCTGAATCGCATCCAAAATCTTAGACTGCTGAGATGACAGACTGTCAACCCGACGCTCCAAGCGATCAAAGCGATCATCCCAATTCGTGAAATGAGAACTGGTGATCTTGTGCTCCAGGATGATAATCTCTGCCATGTGTTTAGTCACTTGTGCACAACAGTCATCTGAGAGCACCTTGGCTAGCTGCTGCAACAAATATTCCCTTCTGGAATGATCTGTTGCCGCCTCTAGCTCAGCTGCCTCCTGACGTTCCAATTTTGCCAGGTGTTCCTGTTGCCGCCGCAACTGCTCTTGCAACTCCTTCTTTTCCTGTTGAGTAGCAGTCAGAGGTGGAGAAGGAGGAGTGGAGGTTGAAGGTTGTTGACCTTCCACCTTCATCACAACTTCCACCTGTGGCTGCTGCTGAGCCCCATGGTCAAACATTTTTCCTTTTTCAAAATAAAATCAAAACAAAACAGCGACCTGAGTATGCAGCGATAATCAGATTCCTTTTCAGACACCCTGGAATCGCTGCAATACCTCAATACTGAAATAGGTGGGTGTATAGGCAATCAGCAATTTGGGTTGGAAAGGTGTCTCTAGGGTCAGGTGTCAGACAGACTGTAAGTCCAGCAAAATCATACATACGATTTCCTTTTACTGACCCTACACCACACTGGAGTGAGTAGAGTCACTCCACTACTCTTCCAAAGACCCACTAGATTTCCAGAGCCCACTAGAGAACAAGTGTCATCAGTGAGAATGATGGAAGATGATTAGTACAGACAAGAGAGATTAACCCAATCAAGCGATTCAGACAGACACCCTATATCCTGACTCAAACTCTACTTTGGACCCTGATGACTCTGGCGGCCATACCCCAGGGTATGGCGAAGTACAGTATTCACTGTATCCAGTGAAATACTAGAAATGCAACTCTGCGATTCTGCAATATTGCCTATTTTCAATTTGCGATTCACTGGGGACTGACAGATTTGAATTCTGACGGACAGAATTGAAGTTACGACTGATCCTAGGTAGCACAGGCTATAAATAGACTCACCGCAAAACTGCAATTCACAGTATCACTACCTTTCCAGTACATAATTCACAATTTGAGCATCCCAGAATAATCGCAATGCAATAAAGCAATCACATAACAATTTTGGATTGAAAAGAGTCAACAGAGGGTTAGAAATGAGCAGAGAGAGGTAGGGGAGAGATGGCTATGGCTGTCGTGCAGTCTGCGATTTTCACATCCAGTCACTGACAAACAGATAGACCATTACAATTAACTAATCTAATACTATCTGTATCGCTATGCAGGTAGGTGCATGGAACGAACTCACTCTCAAAGAATCTTGCAGGTGATGATGAAGATCTGGCTATGGCAGATGATGACCCTTATCTCGCCACTTTCTTCCAGATATTCCTCCTGACAATCCCACGCACAGAACTGCTCCAAACTCGTTGATCCGCCTCAGGATCCTGTAGCACTGCACTCCCTTAATCCAGATACACTGTATCTGGTCCTGTGGCGCCCAGTATGCCAACACCAAAATATCTCGCCACAGTGCCTGGTAGCCGCTGATACTAAAAATAGCCCCAGATGGGGTTATTCCTCTTGGAGATTGATACTGTGTGTCAATCTCCCTCAGCGCAACCCAGGGATCATGCCGCTCAAGGACCTCTGATGTCCTCAGGGGTAATTCGCCACTCTGGGGTAATTCGCAACATTACCCTCAGGGTTGGCTATGGTGAATTAGCCCTGTACTCGCCACTTCCTAACAAGCGCCCTGACAGGTTCAATGCGCTTGCTCAGTGCAACCACTGAACACCTGAATCAACCGCTGAAAGTCTTCTTCCCTGCTGACTCAATACTGGGGAAGATGAATCACCATGAAACTCTCGCCAGTATGTTGCCAGATGAAGAAGATGCCTCAATCCGCTCAACCCTCAGTGTTCCAATTCCAATCCCAACTCCGATACCAACTGTTATGAACTTAGTTGTCTGACGAATTTTATCGCCACTCACACACAGACAATCTCATACACGCCCATACATGCATAAGAGAAGGGGGAGAGGAGATATAGTCCACACTGCACACAGATCAGAGTAGGCAGCGGAATACAGCTATGCACAGATGGGGGGAAGACACACAGTGTTTCTCTCTCTCTGACAAACTCCCAACAACCAATCACAAGTAGAACCTGCGAGGATAACAATTGAAATTGCACTGATGATGAGCCAACTCAAACAATTATCGTAACAGAGTTTGTTCCAGTATCTCGCCACTCTCAGAACTCACACCCCACTCTCTATCCTACACCCAGTTAGTAGCGCCACATCAGAATGGCTTCCCAGAGGCCAGCGCCAACCACCCTGATGAAGAACAGGTCCTGCGATGAAGTCTTCAGTGCCGATGGACAACTCTGACGAAGGAACAGGCAGCTATGGCTGCCACCACCCACGAGTACACAGTGTAGAGCCTCGATGTAGCCCGACCAGACGCAGGTACCCCAAGGGTAGGTGCGTTGAGGATGCCCCAGCTATGGCAGACTCAGACTGGGCCGGCTATGGCTGCTGTCAACAGCGAGGTCTCAGGATGCCGCCTGCAGACCGTCACCGCCACCAACTTGCTTGGCTTCTCCAACGCTGCTTCGCGAGAAATGAACTGCCAAAAAGTCCTGAACCGATGGGCCTAACCTATCTATAGACTACACTAGACCTAGACCGGACTGACTGACCGGCCGGTACCGTTGCTGTTTCGCCCTCTCGGCCTCTACCGGACCCGGCTATAGGCTATAGGACCGTCTATCGGATTAGGCCCTTAGGGCCTGTCTGTCCTAGGGGTAGCCCGGGCCTGCTATAGGCAGTTAGGGTAGCTGTAGGAATTCGGGTTAGTGCTGGGCCTGTATTTTCCCATATTTGCAGATATGTCCCTCACGAATTTCCTTACGGGTAGGTCTCTCGGTTAGCCCTCAGCCAAACAAAATTACGAATCTAACCTACTGCTGTTAATGTACAGCCTCGCAGTCAGTCTCGGCAGTCAGAATCAGCAAGTCATTGCACGATAGTAATGCAGAACTGATTTGGAGAAACGAATAATGCTAATTGAGCAATCTATTCCCTAATCAGAATTAACTTGTGAGCAGATCCGTTTCATTGGTCTACTCCAATACCAAAACTGTTGCATACTAGTGCATACTTCAACAAGTATGGGCAGAACCAAAGATCAACCAATGTAGGATGAGCATGTATGCAGCAGAAGTCTGAGAAATGGACTGACTCACATAGACTGAACTCATCCAGATATCACTCAACACACAAGCAATCGTGAGATGGTGGGGTCTGAAGTCAATCATAGACGATGCTCAGGCCCCGTACAACCATACACAGATGAAAGGTGGGAGGAGAGACGATGGAGGTGGGAGGTATAGGCAGCGCCAGATGTCACCGAGATAGAATCCAGTAGGTCACCGATATGGTAGTCTAAAATGTC